CAACAAATGAAAAAATTTAAAAAAAAAAATTAAGAGCTGAGCTGTAGCTCAATGGTAGAGTGCTCTTGGGTCAAGCCCCAGTACCATAAATGAATTGATAATATTAAAAAAAATCAAGAAAGGGATAAATGCAGAATCCAGTATGCTCTTTTTTATGAGGGAAAGGCAGAAGATAGGATGGGGGAATATCTAGGTAGTTAGGCTAGTGTTAGGTTTTTTTGTTTGTTTGTTTTTAAGATCTTGAGTGTTCTGCAAAAATATCTTTCTTACTATTAAAAGTAACTTAGTTTAAAAAGAAGAAGAAGAAGTAGGGCCTAATCTTCATCGTGTGGGATTAGGCCCCAACTTCAGTAGTAAGACTCCTATAGCGCAAGAATTAAAACCAAGAATCAATAAATGGGATGGAATAAAACTAAAAAGTTTCTTCTCAGCAAAAGAAACAATCTGGGGCTGGGGATGTGGCTCAAGCGGTAGCGTGCTTGCCTGGCATGCGTGCGGCCCAGGTTCGATCCTCAGCACCACATACAAACAAAGATGTTGTGTCTGCCGAAAACTAAAAAATAAATATTAAAAAAAATTTCTCTCTCTCTCTCTTTCAAAAAAAAATAAAACAATCTGTGAGGTGAATAGAGAGCCTACATCTTGGGAGCAAATTTTTACCCCCCCGCACATCAGATAGAGCACTAATCTCTAGGGTATATAAAGAATTCAAAAAGCTAAGCACACACACACACAAAAAAAAAAAAAACCCAAATAACCCAGTCAATAGATGGGTCAAGGACCTGAACGGACACTTCTCAGAAGATGATATTCTATCAGTCAACAAACATGAAAAAATGTTCATCTCTAGCAATTAGAGAAATGCAAATCAAAACTACTCTAAGATTTCATCTCACTCCTGTCAGAATGGCAGCTATTATGAAGACAAACATCATTAAGTGTTGGCAAGGATGTGGGGAAAAAGGCACACTCATACATTGCTGGTGAGACCGCAAATTGGTGCAGCAAATATGGAAAGCAGTATGGAGATTCCTTGGAAAACTAGGAATGGAACCACCATTTGACCCAGCTATCCCTCTCCTCCGTCTATACCCAAAGAACTTAAAAACAGCATACTACAGGGACACAACCACATCAATATTTAGAGCAGCACAATTCACAATTGCTAAACTGTGGAACCAACCTAGATGCCCTTCGGTGGATGAATGGATTAAAAATGTGGCATATATATATATATATATATATAATGGAATTTTACTCAGCAATAAAAGAGAATAAAATCATGGCATTTGCAGGTAAAATGATGGCATTGGAGAAGATAATGCTAAGTGAAGTTAGCCAATCCCAAAAACCCAAATGCCGAATATTTTCTCTGATTTAAGGAGACTTATTCATAGTGGAAGAGGGAGAGGGAGCATGGAAGGAATAGATGAACTCTAGATAGGGCAGAGTGGTTGGAGGGAAAGGGAGGGGGCAGGGGATTAGCAAGGATGGTGGAATGTGATGGACACCTTTATCCAAAGTTCATATATGAAGACACGAATTGGTGTCAACATACTTTATATACAACCAGAGATATGAAAAATTGTGCTGTATATGTGTAATAAGAATTGTAATGCTGTCATTTATTTTTAAAAAATCAATTTAAAAATTTTTTTTAATTAAAAATTTTAAAAAAAAAGGAATTTATTGCTCAGTAAAGTGGTACATGCCTATAATCCCAGGGAGTAGGAAGGTTAGGACGGGAGGATTGCAACTTTGAGGACAACCTCAGCAATTTAGTGAGACCCTGTCTCAAAATAAAAAATAGAAAGAGCTGGGGATGTAGCTGTGAGCAGATCATCCCTGGGTTCTATCCCAACACCCCTCAAAAAAGTAACTCCATGGGGCTGGGTTACAGCTCAGAGGTAGAGCACTTGCCTCGCACATGTGAGACCCTGGGTTTGATCCTCAGCATCACATAATAAATAACTAAATAAATAAAATAAAGATATTATGTCCATCTTTTTAAAAAATTTTTTAGTTGTAGTTGGATACAACACCTTTATTTCACTTGTTTATTTATTTTTTTAATGTGGTACTGAGGATCGAGCCCAGGGTCCGGTTCATGCAGGGCAAGTGCTCTACCGCTGAGCCACAACCCAGCCCTTATTGTGTCCATCTTTAAAAAATCTTTTAAAAAAATAAAGAAATATCTCAATCATTTTTTTTTAAGTTTGTTGTTTGTTTTTAGTTGTAAGTACCAACAGTTTCCTAAGAAACAAAATAGACTGAACTGGGCTAGTCAGGTTTTCATTGCTGTGATTACAAAACCCGACAAGAACAACTTAGAGAAAAAAGTCTGAGCTCAGTTTCAGATGTTCAGTCTATGGTCAGCCCAGCTCTGTTGCTGGCGGGCCTCAGGTGAGGCAGAGCATCATGGTGGAAGAAAGTGGCTCAGCTCACGAGTAAGGGGAAGGGGAAGGAAGAGGGAGAAGCCAGGGACAATATAGTCCAAGGCCATGCTCCCAGTTACCTACCTCTTTAGCAGCCCTGCCCCCCTGCCTACTGTTACCACTCAGGAGTACATTGACATGGTGGATTCTTCAGATGGATTCAACTTCTCCGTGAGGTGACAGCTTTCATGATCTCACCACTGCCTAAAAGCCCCACCTCTGAACTTTGCTACACTGGGGATCATGCTTTCAAAACATTAGCTTTTGTGGGGGTAGGGGGACATTTCTAGATATAAACCATAGCACCAGCTTAATACCATTAACCCCAGAAAGTGACAGTCAAGAATAGAGGCAGAGGAGAGAAGGATGAGAGGACTCCTAATGCTCCTAATGCAGTTTACAAAAGTATCAGTTTCCAAATCTAAAGAGGGTGGAGCAAGTGTGTGTCCTTATCTTTTCCTTCTGACTAGAAGGTGATAGAAATGACATCTGGCAGGCTGGGTGCAGTGGGTGGCGCACACTTGTAACCCCAGTGGCTCCGGAGGCTGAAGCAGGAGGATCTTAAGTTCAAAGCCAGCCTCAGCAAAAGTAAGGCTCTAAGCAACTCAGTGAGACCCTGTCACTAAATAAAATACAAAATAGGGCTGGGGATGTGGCCCAGTGGTTGAGTGCCCCTGAGTTCAATCCCGGGTACAAAAAAAAGACAAAGAAAAAAAGAAAGAAAGAAAAGAAATAGCATCTGGTAGAGACCAGGAAAGGAGAAATGTGAACTGAGACATAAGTAAAGTTTTCCCTGCTCCAAAAAGAATTGCAAGGATAAGCCAAAGGCCATGTTATGGTTCGTTGTTAAGATGGGGTACAACCTGTACTGGGGCAAAGCAAACATTATAACTTCAGCCTCTTAGTATTTTTCATAAACCCCTTTCTTAACCTTAAAGTGTTCTTTCAAGAACAAATTTTTGTATTTAATTTTGGGGATGTCTGCCCAGAATAATATTTTTTATGTGAGGGAAAAATTTATCTCAAATTCAACAATTCCTTCATTTCACTTGAGTTTTGGGATTTTGTTTGTGTGCTTGATTTTTTTGTGTAATTAAATTATGTTAACTAGGGGCTGGGGATATGGCTCAAGCGGTAGCACACT